GTAGAACCAAGCAATGTGAAGTCTTTGACAACTTCAATCTTTTCTCCATTTATCATGATGCTGTTCATAGCTCCAGTTGTGAGGATTTTTGTTTTCTTTATATTGAGATGTAATCCATACTGCAGACTGTATTCTTCAATCTTCATCAGTAAGTGCTTCAAGTCATTCTCACTTGCAGCAAGCAAAGTTGTCATCAGCATGTAGCGGGTTGTTAATGAGTCTTTCTCCAATCTTGATGCCACGTTCTTCTTCATGTAGTCCAGCTTCTCAGATTATTTGCTCACCATATAGATTGAATAAGTATGGTGAAAGGATGCAACGCTGACACACCCCCTTCTTGATTTTAAACCATGCAGTGTCCCCTTGTTCTGTTTGAATGACAGCTTTCTGGTCTATGTAAAGGTTTCTCATGAGTACAATTAAGTGTTCTGGAATTCCCATTCTTCTCAATGTTATCCAACATAGTCAATAAAACACAAGTAAACATCTTTTTGGTATTCTTTGCTTTGAGCCAAGATTCATCTGGCATCAGCAATGATATCCCTCATTCCACATCCTCTTCTGAATCCAGCTTGCACGTCTGGAAGTTCTCCATCAATATACTGCTGCAACTGTTTTTGAATAACCTTCAGTAAGATTTTACTTCGTGCAATATTAATGATATTGTTCGATAATTTCCACATTCTGTGGGATCACCTTTCTTTGGAATGGGTACAAATATGGATCTCTTCCAGTCAGTTGGCCAGGTAGCTGTCTTCCAAATCTCTTGGCATAGAAAAATCTCAGCGGGTATTCAATCACCATTCCTCTTCAATTTGTTATTTCCAGCATAGTAGACCATGTGATTGTCAGATTCAAAATGGCAATACCAGTCTGTTTCAGCTTATATTAAGGATAAAATATAAGGATACTAATCTTTGTGTTCCATTTGATTTTTGATTACTTCCAATTTTCCTAGATACTTTTTTTTACATTCCATGTTCTGATTATTAATGGATGTCTGCAGCTGTTTCTTCTCCTTTTGAGTCATGCCACATCAGTGAATGGAGGTCCCAAAAGCTTTACTCCATCCAAGTTCTTAAAACTGACTCTACTTTGAGGAGGCAGCTCTTTCCCAGTTGTATGTATTTTGAGTGTCATCCAACCTGAAGGGTTCCTTTTCTCACACTATATCTGACAATATTCTGATGCTATTCATTAGTTTTTATTGGCCAATATTTTCTGAAGTAGATCACTAGGTCCTCCTTCCTTGTCTGTCTTAGTCTGGAAGTTCCACTGAAACCTGTCCACCATGGGTAATCCTGCTGGTATTAGCTTACATCATCACAACAACATGCAAGTAAGCTACCACAGTACAACAAACTGACAGACAAGTGATGGACGAGGAATACACAGGATGCAAAACTGACAAGGCTTAATGATGACTGAATGTGGGAGAAAACGGAGAACACAGCATTTCAATGGTGCCTTGCTGCAGGATAGAATTCAGACCTAATGAGCTCATTATGTGAAATTATTTGAACAATTATTCAAGTCGATATAGTGAAAATGGCATCATCATTATTACGAGCAGTCTCCAGGTTATGAACATCCAATTTATGTACCACCATAGTTTTTAACCAACCCCTGTAAAGCCTATGACATTAAAAATTTGAGGTCTAACAGTGGTTTGTAATAAGAAATGGGTACTACTTTGTGACACATTTCAAAACACTGTTATTACTATATCATATGTTAAAGACGGTTTAGTGTATTTGGAAGTGTTTCTTTAACGTTTTTATGTATAGAAAGGCATAATTTGTATTCTATAATAAGACAAATATTTGACTAACTGATGTTAGATTCAAACCATATGTAATTGTTCTGACTTACGTACAAATTTGACTTAAAGACAGACTTAGAAAAAGAAATCATTTGTAATCTGAGGACTGCCTGTATTGTCCAACTGGCTACTGTACTTCACAACTCCTTGGAACTTTCCCATTATCCCACCGCAGTCTTGGCTTGTTGTTTGTTGATCTTTGCCTCCCAAGGCCTCTGAAGTCCTTGCTGTGCATCCATCTGCCTTGCAGGAGAGAAGTGTCCTCCTTTGGGGTTAAGGTGGCTGTGATGGAGCCTAGCTGCTTCAGAACTGAAATCATCAACAATGATAGGCTTTTGTTCTGGTACCTAGTACCGCTCCAACAGAAATACCACAAATGGAATGACCTTAACAAACAGGAGTTTATTCTCTCATAGTTTGGAGGCTTTAAGTCCAAGTTCAAAGTGTCAGGTTCTAGGAGCTGTGTGAAAACCCCTCAACCTTGGGCTTCAGCTCTGCCTCTTGCTCCCAGCCCACTGAAGTTAGAGGCATCTCTTTGCTCAGGCAGCTACTGGCTGCTGAGGCTAACAAGCCCAAAGTCGACAAATAAAATGGCACAGTCCCAATGTTACCAAACCACACAGCAGGCCATTAATTCAAGTCCATTGTAAGTCCCAAGGTCGGCAGAGCATGCTGAACGATGACACAGCTACATGCAGGGTCCAAGCACACCATAAGCTAGAGACCATTCCCAAAGCTGTTTCTTATATACAGGAAGCAGACCACATCCCTAAGGCAGCTACTCAGCCGCTCACAGTAGATTCCACCATGGAGTTGATTACCAGTCTCATCATGTGGAATACTACATCCAGCTGCCCAGCCACTCAACTAGGCCTAGCCAGGTTGACACACAAACTTAACCATCACAGCTTTCTTGTAGCATCCAGGCCAGCCCAAAAGTCAAGGAGGCCTCTGCCAAGGAGTCCTTTGCTTTCTGAGTGAACTGAGGACAGGGCAGAGAGCTCTTGTCTGAAAGACCTGGTCCCATCACTATCTACTCCATCTGTCTCAGGTCTGCCCTCCAGGCTCTGTCTCTACCTCCCCATGAACTACATGCTCATCAGCCTGGTGGATGTCATGGTTTAGTTGAGCTCCCTAAGGCCTGTCAAAGCAATATGAAAACAGGAGTGGGATGCATGGTGGAGTGGATTAGGGTGATGTGTGAGGGGAAACCTCAGGGGTGGGAAATAGGGTGGCAATAGGGAACTTTCAAGTCACCAGCGGCACCATTAACTCCCTTCTGACTGACCCCTACCCCAGGCTTTTTCTGGGACATTATTCAGCAAACTTTCAAAATTAAGAGGAAAGAACCGAATTTTGCACCTTAGGAACTGGGACTCAATACCATGCATTGGTGCACTGTTATCTTTGGTGGTCACTGAAATCTCTGAGCCTCACAGGCCCTCTTGCTGACCTGAAAAATACAGTTTTTGGGAGAGTGTGATCAGAGTGGAGGAGGTCCAGCTCCCATCTGCTCTGTCTCCTGTCCATCTCCTGAAGATCTAATGGCTGGTGGCCTGTAGAAATGGCTTGAATTATAGGAAGGCACTCCTCCTCTGAAGATACCTATGGGCAAGGGGTGAGAGGGAGAGTGACAATCTGCTTGTCCTCATCAGGCCTCAGGTCTCAGTGGAGCAGGAAGGCCCGTCACCTGAGAGTGGGAGGCTGTCCCAGCCCTGGGAGGAGGAGCCCTCTATGAGGATCCTGAATATCCACACATATACGTGCATAACATTTTCTAATGTTGAGTGTTTGGACCCAGGGGAGCATTGCTTGACCAGCCATCAGCTGAGGAATCCTGCAGATTCTGGTCAGGCCCAGGCCTGGGTAAGGGCTGTGCTAAGCCATCCTTCTTCAATCCCTGGGCTTCACATCATTCCTCCAGACCTGGAAGAGCTACTACACCTGCTCAACTCTTAACTGGCATCCTCTCCCTTCTCCTCACCAAGGCTTCCCCATTCAGTCACCGTGGAAGCAGACAGACTGGGTGATACCTCTCAACACAGCTCTGCAGGTGTGTGTGTGGGGGGGGACAGGTGTGAAGTGGGGGATATTTGCCTTCTACCATATCTACTTTTCCACCATTTCTCACCTTCTTCTCCTAACAGCTTCATCTGTTTTCAGGACTGGGTCCTTGACCTGGACCTCTCTTCCTGTCACTTCATATAGAATTCCCAAGCCCTGCTGACCTCTTCCAAGATTATACCTCCTTTCTCTGATTCTTGGGCTGCCCATCATTTTGTAGATTGTGGAGTATGGAGATTCTAGGTCTCCCCTCTCTGGGGAACACGGAACCCCAATTTCGTGTCAGACCCTTTAGACAGGGAAGGTAGAGGGTGTTGTAATCTCTGAAGATTAATTTTTGGAACCACCCTTGACCCCAGCATCATTCTGTCCCTGCAGACTATGCAATCCTGGGTGTGGCCCCTCACTGCCTCACATTCTGTCCCATTCCCTTTCCTTTCCCAGCTCCTCTCCAACCTACAGGACAAGGGGAGCACACCCACCCCAGGAAAACCCTTCGCTTCTCACCATCTCTCATAACTGAGACTCACCTCAATTGGGGTGAGATAATACAAACAGCTGATGACCTAAAGCTCACTTCTCTTGGAGTTTGGAGGGCACAGAATCCATTTTTGTTTGTTTTGCATTACTGAATTTGTATTATTTTTTCTTGAAAATAAAAAGTAAATTTATTTACATGCCTGCATTCATGACAAATGATTTCCTGGCCCAGGGATGGGGTTGAACAAGAGTTTTACAGGGGAGCTATTTTGGTTGAGTCTTCCTTTCTCTTCTGTCCCTGGACCCACCGATCATATGTGCTGCCTGTCACTACCTACATGCTTTTAGGGTCTTTCCCATTCTTGGCACCTTCAGCCTCTATGGCTGGGAGAAAGAGGGAAGTAGCTACCAGGGCTGTTGGAGGTGACAAAGCTTCAGGTTGGACTTGAATTTCTTGCATCTAGGCTAATTGGTGTGCTGATGCATCCACCCATAAAAACTAGAGTGGCTCGCCCAGGGGCCGCGCATCCATTACAAGCAGTAGAAGGAAGGAGAGCTCTTCTTCCCAGCAGGCTGCAGCAAACTGCTGGCTGGGGCTCAGAGGACCAGCTGCTCCATTGTCTCCTGGCCTGACCTTCTTGGCTGTCACCTCACCCCTGCCCTATGGCAGCTATCACGGACTTCTCCTTTATGTACCGCTGGTTCAAGAACTGCAACTTGGTGCGAAACCTCTCAGAGAAGTATGTCTTCATCACTGGCTGTGACTCAGGCTTTGGGAACCTGCTGGCTCGGCAGCTAGTTGATAGAGGCATGAAGGTGCTGGCTTCTTGCCTCACTGAGGAAGGGGCCCAGAAGCTTCAGCAGGATACCTCCTGCCGTCTGCAGACCATCCTATTGGATGTCACCAAGACTGAGAGCATCCAGGCGGCAGCCCAGTGGGTGAGAGACCAAGTGGGCGAGCAAGGTGGGGTAATTGTATCCTTTGGCTTTCTACATTTCTCCTTCTTTCTCTCTCCCACAACCATCTGAGAGTATCCAGGATCCAGTTGTTCAGATGAGGTTGGGGAGATGATACAGGGAAAGGGGCTGGGGCTCTGTCTGAGTCTCATTGGAAACCACTGCATGATTTGGTCTATTCATTAGAAAAGGTGATTTCCCAAGGAGATTCTCTCTACCTCAACTTGGAGGGTTATAAAAGGGGCTGCAATAGGAGATGGGGAAAGGAAGATGTGTTCTATCCACCCAAACCACTAAGAATGGAGGTGACTATGTGGAACTTCAACCATTTTAACCATCAGTCCCATAGAAATTTGAGCACATTTCCTGATATGATCAGGCTGCGGGGAAGAGGACGTGAGGTTTGATTCCTTAAGTGGGACATGAAGGCTAAAAGACAAGGGAGAAGGAGATTTCTTCTCTTCCCTTCACTGCGGATATTGGTTTGACCTCAAGGCAAGTGTAAAGTCTGAGTGGTTGCTCCTATTGGACTGGATCAGAACTGTGTGGGGACCAGCCCTGGGAACTTCCTGTACGCAGGGTGTGGGTGGAGGAACGGGAGGAACAGGATGACTCTGTTCTAGAAGCAGCAGACTAGGGGAAGTCCTAAAGAACTAGTCTGGGGGAGTCTATCCACACAGGTGGAAGGTAGAGCCCTGGGGTCCAGGAGGAGCCAGATAGCAACTCTCTGCTTTATTTTTCTTCTTCGTTCTTATCACTATCCAATATACAATACATTTTGCTTATTTATTGTCTGTTTCCTATGGTAGGATAAAGCTTTCTGGGGCAGAGCTTTTAGTCTATTTACTGTTGTATCCTCATTACCTAGTACAGTGCCAGACACTCAGTCAGTGTTCAATACATATTTGTTGGGTCAATGATTGAATGAGTAACTCAACAAGGGTGAGCCTCACCCAGCTCCCCACATTCAGCTTTGAGCCACTTGTGTTAATGATTCATTGGGTGTATTAATTTGAGTCACTTGTGTAAAGTGTATCATTGAGTGTATATTTGCTGCTGTAACAAATTACCACAAACTTAGTGGTCTAAACTCACTGCCATTGAGTCAGATCCGACTCATAGTGACCCAGCCTTGGGTTTCTGAGGAGGTATCACTACGGAAGTAGATTGCCCAACCTTCCTTCTGAGGAGTGGCTGGTGGGTTTGAACCGCCAGCCTTCTAGTTAGCAGTCATCAGGTATTCGGTGAGGGAACAAACTCCATAAAGAAATATTTAGAAGGAATACTTGATGACGCTGTTTCAGATGGAAAGGTAAAAATAAACACGTTCCTTTTCTAAAGGTACCACAAGTGCATCAACATATATGTACAATGAAGTGGTTTCTTAGGCTACTGAAATTAAGTAGACTCAATATTAAATATGAAAATTATTTTTCCTTTTAAATAACATCACATGTTAATGAGAGATGGCAAATCATTTTATGTTTAAAACTTGATAATAATAAGAATGTTTTCCTCCTGACATAGCATTTTCAATACCTATTATTTCACATAACAATAACAACAACAATTATTTCAACATGTAAGTTTCCAGGTAGAACGTAGAGGAAATTTGGACTTTAAGCAGCTGAGTTGGGGTAGTGGTGGCTCAATGGTAGAATTCTTGAGTTCCACAAGGGAGACCCAGGTTCAAACTGCAGCCCACGTCCTTCACGTGCAGCCAGCACCCACCTGTCTATGGAAGCTTGTGTGCTGCCATCATTCAGAGCTTCCAGACTAAGCTAGTCTGGGGGAAAGCCCTGGTGATCTACTTCTGAAAAGCAGTCGATACAAACTCTATGCATGGATCACAGTAGTGTAATGGCAAACCAATCGTGAGGATGGTGCAGACCCAGGCAGCGTTTTGTTCCATTGAGCATGGGGTCATCTTGAGTCAAGGGCTGACTTGACAGCAGCTAACAACAAAACGGCAGCAACAGGGTGGCTTAAAACAGTACCAATTTATTATCTTACAGGAGGGTCAGGAGTCTCATTGGGTTTAAATCAAGGTATTGGCAGGGCTGCATTCAATTCTGGGGGTTCTAGGAGAGAATCCCTTTCCTTGCCTTTTCTAGCTCCTAGAGGTTTCTTTGGTCTGTGGGTAGCATAAGCAGTTTGTGTTTGACTCCTAATAAAATGGTTGGTGGTTTGAATCCACCCATCAGTGCCATAGAAGAAAGTCCAGTGATGTGTTTCCATAAAGATTAACCAAAAAAACCTCACTGCCATTGAGTCTATTCCAACTCACCAAACTGAAAAAACCAAACACACTGCCATTGAGTCAGACCTGACTCATAGCGACCCTCCTTGGGTTTCCAAGGCAGTATCACTATGGAACATACACACACACACACACACACACAAGGTGACCCTATAATAGGACAGAATAGAACTTCCCAATAGGGTTTCCGAGGCTGTAAATCTTTATAAAAGCAGGCTGCCTCATTTTCTCACAGAGCAGTTGGAGAGTTCAAACCACCAACCTTTTGGTTAGCAGATGAATGCTTTACCCACTGCACCACCAAAGCTTCCATAAAGATTACAGCCAAGAAAATCCAATGAAACTCAGTTCTACTCTGGTTTTGGTTTTAGAGACCTCCCTCTTGTATTTCTTGGCTTATGGCCCTGTTCATCCATTTAAAGCCAGCAAGGTAAGCCCAAGCCCTTCTCACACTGCCATCTTTCTATTTCTCCCTCTTTCTTCTTCTTCCACTTAGAAGAACTCTGGTGATTACATTGGGCCCACAAGGTTAATTCAGGATAATCTCTTCATATTAATGTTAGTTGATTGTTGTTGTTGTTGTTGTTGTTATGTGCCGTCGAGTCGGCCCCGACTCATAGCGACCCCTTCTTGGGTTTCCGAGGCAGTATCACTACGGAAGTAGGATTGCCCAACCTTCCTTCCGAGGAGTGGCTGGTGGATTTGAACCGCCAGCCGTCTGGTTAGCAGGCAAGTGTCTTAGCCACTATGCTACCAGAGCTCCCTGTTAGTTGATTAGTAACCTTAATTTCATCTGCCATATTAATTATACCATTTTAATTCCCCTTTTCCATATAACCTAAGATATTCACAGATTCCAGGCACTAGGTTGTGGACACCCTTGGGGACTGTTTTTCTGCCTAGGGACTGGATTGAGGGGGTGGTTCTTACATGTTTTCTTGTTGTCCCTGAGAGTCCCTAGACATGACAGGTCAGCACAGCCCTAGACTACTCTGAGGAGTTTTTATTAGCTTTTGCAAGAGAAATTAAGGTAACCCTGGTTCTGCAGCTAGTGGTGCATCCTCACCTAAAGCAGGTTGCTAGGGATGAGCAGAGATAGTGGTTAGTGTGAGTTCCCTCTACACCAACAGAAGGAACTTGAGTTGTATAGTCTTTGGGTCTCAAGGGACTTAATTTTCCTTTATGGGACGGTTCTGAGTCCTACCAGCCAGACTTCTGGGGTCTCTAACTGTAGGAAGGCAGGAACATGGGATGGTGGCATGGCTTATGTGGGAACCTCAGACCTAGGGGAAGAGCTGAACTGTAACAGATGTCTCTATCCACCTGCTCTCAGGAGAGAGTGGAAAGTGCTATTGTCAGCGGAGGCTAAGGGGGGGAAGGGAAGGAGCTACAGCAGTAGGGCACATGGGATCCTTGAATGAAAGAGCTGGAAGAGGCCTTTGGAGATAATCTAGAGGTTTATACAACGTGTTTTAAGCAACAAAGCTCTTCTCCTCTTCCAAGTGGAATTTACTTAGAAGCTCAATATGTAAAATAATTGAAGGTAGAGCTTCTTGCCATCTCCCTCTCCTAGTAGGTTCTGAGACTCAGTTAGAAAGTCCTCAGGCTTGCCAAAACACAGAAGGGACACAATTGTTGTAGTCCAATCCAATGAAGATTCTGAGGCCCACACAGGGGAGATGGTATGTCCATGGCTGGAGGTAGAAATAGGACTACAACTTGGGACTTTTCAACCCTGGGCCCCCACAGGTTTGAATGACAATGCTTAACATTAATTCCCTTCATTTATATCAACCAATTTAAATGTGGGTTTCCTGGGTGGTGCAAACAGTTAATGTGCTAGACTGCGAACTGAAAGTTTGGTGGTTTGAGTCCTCCCAGAGGTGCCTTGGAAGAAAGTTCTGACAATCTACTTCAAAAAAATCCACCACTGAAAACCTATGGAACATGACTTAACTCTGATGACACACATGAGGTCACCATGAGTAGGAGTTGACTCTGTGGCAATTGGTACCGGTAATTTAAATATCTCAAAGAGAGCTGTCACCACCTTTGTCCATAAATGTTTTGCATAAATATTTTATATATTTATTTATAAACATTATTTATCTTCTCTCTGGTTTGTGAACTTCTGAAGGGATAACAAGCTGTCTTATTTATTTTATGTCTCTAACATTTCCCCTGTAATCGGCACAGATAGACGCATAAATGTATGAATGTGTCACTGTATGAATGAATGGATGGATGGATGGATAGACAGATTTTGGTAAAACATGAAATGGAGTTGCTTTCTTATTCTTAAGGTGAATAGAAAGGAGAAAGTTTGGGAGGGGAAAGAAATTAAAATATTGATTCATTGGTATGAAATTCCTTTTATCCCAGAGCCAAAGTACTACTATTAGCTAAAGCCTGGATTTTAGCTGGCAAGATCCCAGCTAGCTGGCAGACGTTTTGTGAATCAGAAAAAGGTGCCCCTTCTGGGGAAACTAATTAGTAAAAGACACATCTTCCTTCACACTGTCATAGCCTCCAACCCTACACCCCAACCCTACTATCTTATCTCTTGTGTGCCCACTCACAACTATTCTCAGTGGCCCTGAGCTGGTAGGTGGTGGACTGTGGTCTTTCCCATAAATACTGCTGATTTCTGCCCTGGTTCTCTCTCCCTTCGTCTTACCCATAGGCCTCTGGGCCCTGGTGAACAATGCTGGAGTGGGCCTGCCTAGTGGTCCCAATGAATGGCTGACCAAGGAGGACTTTGTGAAGGTGATCAATGTGAACCTAGTAGGATTGATTGACGTGACCCTCCACATGCTACCGATGGTCAAGAAAGCCCGGGGCAGGATTGTCAACATGTCCAGTTCTGGTGGTCGTGTAGCTGTCATCGGTGGTGGCTACTGTGTCTCCAAGTTTGGTGTTGAGGCCTTCTCTGACAGCATCAGGTGATTGTGCTCTGGTGCTGGACCACTCTGGATGGGAATCCCAGGGGATTCATCTTTGGAAGAGAGGGGTGGGGTGAATAGGGGTATTCTGGAGGGAGGAAACTAAAACAATAGCAGGAGGAAGACTAGACCTCAGGGGGTTTTCCTCAAAGATCAAGAGAAGAAAAGATGAAAAGAAGAGGTGGATGGTGATGGAGGCAGTCAGTCTGCCTGTCCCAGAATGAGTGTAACCCTGTTTGGGCCAGTGAGAGTAGGAGGAAGAAACCCTAAACAAACAGAGAGAGTCCGGCGGGGAAGGTGCCTATAAGGAGACCCTCATAGGAAGATGTAGGACTTCCATAGACCCCCATTCCCTGCATGGGTGTTGAATGTGGGTCTGAGAATGGGAGGAACCTGGTGGAAGGCAAGGCCGTGGCCTAGATTATCTTGCTGACTTCCTCCCCCAGTACATTTGCCTAATGCAAATTGCCCAACCACTGCAGACCAGACATGAGAAAGGTCTGAGACCCTAAGGAAGGCCTTATTTTCATGTAGGCAATGCCTGGCCTGGAGCAGAGGTTGTGAGGTAATCCTTCCGGGTTCCTGGGGAAACAGGCTCTTCCAGAGGTGTCAGAGATGACTCTCTTTGATGAACTTCTGTCATCTTGGGGCCCCAGACTAAATCCAACTCTTCTTTTTCAGGCGTGAGCTCCACTATTTCGGCGTAAAGGTCAGCATCATTGAGCCGGGAAACTACCGGACATCCATCCTGGGCAAAGAGGGCATGGAGTCACGCATGCGAAAGCTGTGGCAGCGGTTGCCTCAGGAGACCCGAGATAGTTACGGAGAGGAGTACTTCTGCATCTGTAAGTTCCCCAGGCAAGAGACGGAGGGGTTTGAGAGGGACAGGAACACTTTGAGGGTCATGGCCTTGCTTCATTTCACAGATGGTGAGACAGAGGCTAAGGGGTTACACAGCTAATGGCAGAGCTAGAGTTTGAGAGTAGAAACCAAGTGGGCAACTTCTGGGAGTTGCAGAACCAAAGCTACCATGGGCGGGAGGAGGCGGGGGAGAATGTTTACGAGATGTGGTCCAGTCCTCCCTAAATTTCATTTTGCAAATGAAGCAGATGAGAATGCACTGAGATGAGTATAAAGACATGATTAAGAGCATGGCCATTGGAGCCGGACTGCCTAGGTTTAAATCCTGGCACTGCCATTTACCAGCTAGGAGATTTTGGGTGTGTCCTATTCTCCCCATGCCTCAGTTTTCTCATCTATAAAATGGAGCTGATGATAGTGCCTACTCACAGGGCTGCTAAGAGGATTAATACCTGAGTCTTGCACACACCAAAACCACGTGCTATAGAGTCATTTCCAACTTGTGGTGGTCCCTCATTTATCAGAGGAGAGCACCAGACTTCTCTCTCTTCCAAGGTGCCTCTGGGTGGACTTGAACTTCCAATCTTTCGATTAGTAGCTGAATACATTAACTATTTACATCACCCAGGGACTCTTGTACATACCAAAAAACAAAAAACTAAACCAAACTCACTGCCATTGAATCAATTCCAACTCATAATGACTCCCATTTGCTTTCAAAGGCTGTAAATCTTTACAGAAGCAAACTGCCCCGTCTTTCTTCTGCACAGTAGCTGGTAGATTTGAACCACTTACCTCCTGGTTAGCAGCCAAATGCCTTAACCACTATACCACCAGAGTTCCTTTGCACACAACCAAACCAAATTCACTGCTGAGGAGTTGGATCTGAGTCATAGCGACACCTCCTTGGGTTTCCGAAGCGGTATCACTACGGAAGTAGATTGCCCTGTCTTTCTTCTGAGGAGTGGCTGGTGGGTTTGAACCCCCAGACTTCTGGTTAGCAGTCAAATGCCTTAGGTACTACGCCACCAGAGGCCCTTTGCACACACACCAAGTACTTGTTAAATAAAGAAGGAAAGAGCACACAGGTCTGTGAAAGGGAGGATCTCCAGGCAGCTCCCATCTCTCCCTGAGCTGAAGGACTCTTGGACATCTCAGGTGGTTTGGAGGGTAGTGGAGGAGCATCACAGATGCTTACTATCCCCCCAAAACTATACTTTTGGCTCTTCCAGTCTGGGGATTCCCCTGGCCATTGGAGAATGGGAGGAGGGATGGCCTGTTATTGTTGCTGTGGAGGCAATTCTGACTCATGGCAACCCCATTGGAGCAGAGTAGAACTGCTCTATAGGCAGTGGTGGATTATTCAATAAGCAAGGTAAACATCATGAAAACCATGTAAAGCTGTTCACTACAGATTAATAAGTAAGCACAAGTAAGTCTGTGCTTACCTTGCCTACCGGTACTCCATCCCTTTCAGGGATTGTAAATTTGAAGAGGCTTTGATTCTATAGGAAGGTGCTATGGGGTTAGGAGAGAGACAGATGCTAGTCATGCATAGAATAGAATCTTTGATGTGGTGAAAAAAATGTGAAATTGTTCAGAGAATATTAGTAAGTAAGTCCAGGTAAGCCAGTGCTTACCTTTCTTATTGAGTAATCCGCCCCTGTAAGGATTGAGTTTTCAAAGTTGTGACCTTTTCAGAAGGAGATCACCAAGTCTGTGTTCTGAGACACTTCTGGGTGATCCAAACTGCCAACCTTTCAGGAAGCAGTCTGAAGGAAGGAAGACTGGGAGACCTACTTCCCTAAAGATTTACTGCCTCAGAAACTCAAAGGGGGTCGCTATGAGTCAGAATCAACACGAGGGCACTGAGTTTGGTTTTGTTTTTTTGGAATAGTTTTAAAGACCCCAAACCCTCAGAGTGAAGGAGCAGCAGCGGGGCTCCAGGGCACCGATCCCCACAGCACCTCCCTCTTCACCCCCCACTCCCAGGCAGAGCAGCATCTAAGAGGCAGAGAGGTGTGGATCCCCAAAAGGATATTTGCAGCTGTTGTTAGAAACAGAGGGAGTAGACACTGGGGAGGAAAAGAATATAAATCCTCAACAAGATCCCCTAAAACTCTCTCTTAGCAAAGAGTGATCCAAATTTTTTATAGGGTCACTATGAGGCTAACATGAAAATTCACAAAACCATTTTCTAAGCAAAGCAACTCAATGCAGGCAAACGGTGTGATCCATGAGAGAATATCTATAAAGACTAGTTTCCTCTGAAAACCACTTGTCAAAAAGCTGATGTTGTTCTGAAGAATAGTAGGACTGAGTTTATAAAACACCATTGGTTGATTCTTCTGTAGTCCATCCCAGGATTTCAGAGGAAAATCTTCAGGCAGGCATTCACTTTTGAGATAAATATTTTCCCAAGTGGTTATTATACCTTATTTTTCACTTTAGTTTAACAAGTGTTTATTGGAATATAGAGATTGAGACAAAGTCTTAGGGAATCTAGCAGGAGCTATCTGAAAGCAAACACACCACCACATGGAGAATTGCACAACAAAGAATATGTATACAAAGCAAAAAGGAGCCCTAGTAGCACAGTGGTTAAGCTCTTGGCTGCTAACCAAAAGGTCGGTGGTTTGAGTACACCAGCTGCTCTGTGTAAGTCTGCTTCCTTAAATATTACAGCCTCCAAAACCCAGTTTCTATGTCTTATATAGGGTTGCTGTGAGTCAGAATAGACTCATGGGCAATGAGTTTGCTTTTGGGGTTATACAAAGCAAGCAATAGTACAAAAACAAACAAACCCACTGCCACTGAGTTCATTCCAACTCATAACTCAATAAACCTTGTTGTTAGCTGCTGTCAGCTCCTAACTAACAGTAACCCCACGTACAATAGAACAAAATGCTGCCCCATCCTACGCCATCCCCAAGATTGGCTGTGGATCAGGCCATTGTGAGCCACAGGGCTTTTATTGGCTGATTTTCAGAAGTAGATCACCAGGTGTCTCTTCCTAGTCCATCTTAGTCTAGAAGCACCATTGACACCTGTTCAGCATCACAGCAACACACAAGCCTCCATCAACAGACAAGTGGAGAGTGCACGTGAGATACATTGGCCGGGAA